TCAAGCTTGTTGTGCCGAAGTTTCTTAGGCACAAGTGCCATGCACATGCACCCGAACACCCGAAGCATATCCACCTTCGGCTTCCTTCCAATCCACTCCACATACGGCACCCATTTGTCTTCTCCCACATGAGTCAAGGCTCTGTTCTTGGCCACACAAGCATGCCCCACCGCATCTGGCCAAAAGTAATTGGGTAGAGTGGCTTCAATGAGAAGTCCCCGAGCTGTCTCCGTGAGTGTCCGATTCGCATGCTCGGCGATGCCGTTCATTGCAGTAGAGTAGGGCATGGTAAGAGAGTGCCTTATGCCTTGATTCTTCAGCCAAGTTGAGAAGTCCTTGCTCAAGAACTCTCCCCCACGGTCAGTGCGAATCGCCTTCACAAGCCGGTCTTGTTGCCGCTCCACCATCGGCAACCAATCGGTCTTCACCGTTTCAGTTACGTCACTCTTGTTGGGCAGCACATACACCCAAGTCATGCGAGTGTAGACGTCCACAATGGTGAGAAAGTACTCTGCTCCAGCAGCTCCAAGCTTTAAGGGGCCCACCACATCCATCACCACCTCATCGAGTGGTGCCTTCGTCCTTGTCTCCGAGCTATGCAACGGGTAGCGGGTGAACTTGGCTTGCATGCATGTTGGACAGCCAAGCACCTCATTGGGATCCCCCTTGACACGTATCCCACTGACCATCTCTTGCTTAACTATCTGCTGCAAAATGGGCAATGCCACATGCCCCATTCGCCGATGCAAGGTCAGCCAATCACACTCTCCCGTAGTGGAAGTCGGGTTGGAGAAAGCGGCACTCACAATCGTGCCCCACAAGCTCTCTCCTTTCTCCTTTGCCACTGCTGCTTTGCTGATCTTAGGCTTATCCTCCTCATTTCCACCACCTTTGGCTGCTGCACCACTCTCCTTGGGTTCACACGCCTTGCTGGTCTCTCCAAGGTTGCACTCCTTCGAGTCACTCTTGGTGTCACTTTGTTTTCCGTGATCACCGCCACCAACCGCTTCACTCTTGGTGCTGACGCTTGCTGCCACTTGCCTCTCCTTAGGCATGGGTACCACTGGGATTTGCCACATCTCATTGTAGATGTCCCTATCCTCATGAAGGTCCCAAAGCTTCCACTCACCAAGCCTCGCGGTATAGGTTTTGGATCCCTTGGAAGATGTGTCCATGGCGGCCTTTTGCAAACGCCGCACAGAAATCAGGTTGGCTGCAAGGTTGGGCACCCAAAGCACGTTCTTGAGGCCCACCATCTTCCCATCAGCACCCTTGAACATGGCCTTGCCCATGCCTTTCACCTCTGCTCGCTGCCCCAAAGCCGATGTAACATGCTTGACCGGCGACGGTTCGAGTTCGGTGAGCAAGTCCGCACGAGGTGTCATGCTATAGGTGGCGCCGCTATCGATCACCCAAAAGTCCAGAGGGTGAAGGGTGACCTTTCCTACAGTAGCTAGCTCCTCAAAGCCTTCCACACCTCCTGCTGCAGCTGCCGCTTGCGTGGAGACAAAGAAGAATTGGCCCGGGTATCGATCTTCATTCGAGTACTTGTCGTTGTCTCCACCTTTCATGCTTGCCGCTTCGCTTCCACGACCACCACGGCCTCCACGACCTCTGCCTCTTCCTCCCCTTGCTCCTCTGCCCTCTTGGCCTTGAGAAGGGGTCCAACCATCAGGCAATTTGAAGCAATCTCTCCACATGTGGCCGGTCTTGTGGCAAAAGTGGCATTCGCCATCAAATCGACCGCGCCCACGCCCGTAACCATTATTGTTGTTGTTGCTGCCATATCCTCCATTGCCACGGCCTCCATTGAAGTTACTGCTGCCAAATCTGCCTCCTTGCCCTCTGCCCCTTCCACGGCCGTGCCCACGGCCCATGCTTGCAACTCCGGCACCATCGGGACCCGCCAATTCACGACGGGGGAAATCTTCTTGCAAGATTTCCCGCTTCGCATCTTCGAGCGAGAGGCGGGGCAGATCTCGATTTAGGTTGATGATGAGTGGGGACCATGAGTTCGGAAGTAAGGCCAGCAGCTTTGTCTTCTTTTGAAGGTCACTATAGTTCAGGTCAGCTCCTTCAAGCCGTGTCAATAAGTCGAAGAAGTTCTGCACTCCTTCCTCCACCGGTTCACTTTTGTCAATTCGAAGTGCCGCTATTTGCCGCTCCAAAACCACAGCCACCGCCGCTGTTGCAGGAGCGTGTACACCCTTGAGAGCAGCCCATGCCTTTGGTCCCTTTGCTGGTTCACGCTGAAATGGCTTGATATGACGGATTTGGCTGCTCCCCAACGCTTGCCCAAGTAGAAGGTAGCCTTGTGCGCTCTTCCGCACCCACGGGCTCTTCTCTGGGTCGTTCTCGTGGCGCTTTTCCGTTCCTTCCATCACCTCCAGCAGATCATAGTGGTCAAAGATGTTCTCCATCTTGAAGGACCACTCAGCAAAGTTGTCACCGTTGAACTTGTCAAGGCCAAACACTCTAGGCTCATCCCTAGAGGATCCAAGGCTACGTTGCACGGGAGCAACGGGTGGATCTTGGTGTTGACCTTGTGCTCGGGCGTGTTCTCTGCCTCCAACACCTCTGCCACCCTCTTCCTCAGCTCTAGGCATGGTCGAGATCGCTCCAAGGGGCTCTGATACCACTTGTTATAATCACAATAGGCTCAGATGTGCCTAAAATGAGAGAATTGTGCATAGTCAGAATTCCGTCACACAGCTTCAAATATTGATGCCGAACTGATCTATGCCTCAAACGGTGATCTATAAATAGGATCTGGAGCACGTTGCTGTTGCCTATCAGCAGCAAGTTGAATCATAAAATTCCATGAAGATTTGACGACGCTATGGCGGTTTGACTGGCAAGAGGTACAGCAGCCACTAAAGTCTTAGGAGTACAACCTTAGCAAGAAGAGTTCGAGATGGAGATGATTCCCAGCCTCTACATACCCCAAGAGCCGAGATCCTGGTTGGTGGTACACCACCACAGAGTCCCCAACCATGAAGAGTCTCGAAACAAACCCTCCAAGAGGCTACACCAAGTGAAATGTAACACTACACGAAGTAGCATTACTATTTTTACTATTTAATATTTATCTACTTCCCTTGGGCTTGAAATCTTGAGCTCTCGGTCTTGGTTCTGCAAGATAAATTCTTCTTGAGTTGATGGGGGCTTGGTGCACACACCTGCGACGTGATGGGCACTTCACACTCGACAAAATAGAAAAAACACATGCGACACACACACGACGACTTGACATGCGAGTTGTGAAAACTCGCTAATGTCTTGACCGACACAAACCACATTGTGATACACCATGTAAACACACACGCAAGCACTAGATAGCAATGACATAGACTCACAAGTCATTCCATGCCATGCATGCACACACACAATTCAGGACGACAAGCTGAGTGCAAGCCATAGGGTTGCACCAACAATGCTGAAGCTTCAAGACAAGGTCAAGTGCAAGACCCTTGGTGACATCAACTACTACCTTGGGCTTCACATTGAGCGAGATGCGGAGAAGCGGTGGATGCGAGTGCATCAAAAGAAGTACTTGGAGGCCTTGGTTGCAAACTTTGGGAAGGGTGAAGGTTATGTGGCTACTCCTCTACCCTCGGGGTTCAAGTGTAAGGACCAGCGGAGGAAAGTGTTGGTGAAGAGGAGAGGCGCTGTTTTTACTCCTTGGTGGGCAGCCCGTTCACACAAGGCCGGATGCAGCCTTTGCGTCCGGGCAGCTAGCTAAGGTTGTTCAATGCCCTAATGAATATCAGGTAGCAGCTGGAGAGAGAGTGGCAAGGAACCTTGGCCAAACAGCAACTGTTAGACTGCAATACTCCGCGGTGGCACAAAGGCGTCAAAAGGGTGCGGATGGAGTTGAACCCAGGAGGCTCTGTCTCACGGCCTTCTCTGATGCATCTTGGGCATAAGGACCAGAGGATATGACAAGTGTGGGAGGCTTCATCTGCTGTATTGGTGGAGGCCCAACAGCTTGGAAGAGCAAGAAACAAGTGGACCAAGCATTGAGCTCGGTGGAGTCCGAGTACATGGCACTAATCTGTGCCATGAGAGAGGTTGTGTGGCAGCAGCATTTGCTAGCTGAATTGGGGGAGGAGCAGCAAGGACCTACCCCACTCTATTGTGATAGCCACGATGCTATTGAATTGGGTAAGAACCCCGTTCTTCATGGCCTTACCAAGCACATGAAGGTGAAATGGCATTGGGTGAGGAGCATGGTAACCACGGGTGAAGTAGAGTTACACTACGTGAAGATGACGGCGCTACCAGCTGACATGATGACCAACAGGCTGGTTGAGCAGTAGCATTGGAAGTGCTGCAAGCTTGCTGGGATGGCTCTGAACTAAGGGGAGGAGATTCTAAGCCCAACAATCCGAGGGGGAGTTTGTTGGTGCAACCCTATGGCTTGCACTCGGCTTGTTGTCCTTGTTCATGTGTGTGCATGCATGGTATGGAATGACTCGTGAGTCTATGTTATTGCTATCTAGTGCTTGTGTGTATGCTTGAATGGTGTATCACAATGTGTTTTGTGTCGATCAAAACATTAGCGAGTTTTTACAACTCGCATGTCAAGTCGTCGTTTGTGCATCGCATGTGTCTTTTTTAATTTGTCGAGTGTGAAGTATCCATAGCGTCGGAGGTGAGTGCAGCAAGCCCTTATCAACTCAAGAAGAATTTATCTTGCAAAACCAAGACCAAGAGCTCAAGATTTCAAGCCCAAGGGATGCGGATAAATATTAAATAGTGAAAATAGTAATGCTAATTCGTATAGTGTTACATTTCACTTGGTGTAGCTCCTTGTTGGGGTTTGTTTCGAGTCCCTTCGTGGTTGGGGACTCTGTGGTGGTGTACCACCAACCTGGACCTCGGCTGTTGGGGCTTGTAGAGGCTGGGAACCATCTCAATCTCGATTCTTCTTGCTAAGTTTGTACTTCTAAGACTATAGTGTCTGCTATACCTCTTGCCAATAAAACCGCCATAGCGACGTCAAATCTTCATGGAATTTCATGATTCAACTTGCTGCTGATAGGCGACAGCAACGCGCTCCAGATCCAACTTACAAATAACCGTTTGATTTAGGGATCAAAACGTCATCATTATTTGAAGCCGTCTGACGGATGTCCAAATGTGCTCTCTATCTCTCTTTTTAGGCACATCTGAGCCTATTGTGATTATAACACTGCCAGGGGAGGGAGATGCGTGAGTGTGTGTAGTGGCAGAGGCAGTAGGAGAGGAATGGGACGTATAGGGGGGTAGAAGGGATGAGAGCAGTGCAGAGGAGACAAAGACAAGAGAGAACGGATGGCAGGAGCGACCGGAAGGCTTTAGTGCTGCTGCTGCTGATGGTGATGATGGGCGGCATAGGGGCTCGTCGAGGAGAAGGAAGTACCTCCACGCCATAAGGGAGAGCAACTGGGGGGGGTTAGGGAGGGGGGAGGTAGGAAGGGAACATGGTAACGCACTTATCAACGTCACTAGCATGAAAGAAGTTTAAAGCGTCAATGACATGAACACACATAGAGCCTATCGTACTTACCCTGTTCCCAGTGACAGCGTACCTGCTCCGGACTGACTTCCTCCCTTGCTGCAGTGCGTGGTGGCTCGCATGGCTGCATGCCCTACTACTGCTGTGCATTGTGGGGCGGGTAGGGACATGTCAGACGTGGAAAGGGGCAAAACGGAGAACGGGCGAGGAGGAAGAGGTGGGATGGGAGACGTAGGGAGGGCAGCACAAGGTTGAGCAAGAGGCATATGCTGTACTGGGAGGGGAGACGGTTGGAGGGGTGACGATGGGAGGAGGGGGTGTGTGTGAGGGGATCTGCAGTGCAGGAATGGTATCGAACCTTGCATTGACTGACCTCAAATCGGCCGGAGGTGACTTCAAGATGCACGTGAGCAGAGGTGTGCATGTGGGCGAGCAGGCATGGCCTCAGCTATGGCAGCACAGCCAGCATCAGACCCACGTGTGAGCTAGCTCGCGGCGAGTCAAAGCTGCTCCACACACCAGGGGCCCATGCCCTCGTGCTGCTGCGTCCTCCTCTCTCCATGAGGAAGAATCTCCCTGCTGTTGTGGGAGGGGAGGGGGGGGAAGAAAGGGGGGGCAGAGGAGGGGGGGGAAAGAGGAAGGGGGGCGAGAGGAAGGGGGGAGAGGAGGAGAGGGGGGGAGGAAAGGGGGGGGGGAGATGAGGGGGGGTTGCATAATGGGAGAGCGGAAGTGTGTGCTTGGGACGAGGGTTGCAGACACAAGCACTGGCATTTTGGAGCTGGCGATCACTACAACGATCAGTCTTGCTCCTGCTGAAAATTATAGTCCCTCCCATGCATGCACTCCCCTCTCCTCCCTCTCTCTCACTCCCCAGAGTCCCCTTTGTTCCACAAAGCATATGGCAAGGGAAAGTCGAGAGGGTGGGGGGCCGCCGGGCAGTGCTGGCCTCGCAGCTGGAAGGACTCAAGGGGGCACAGGCTGGTGCGCTGTGCAGCGAGGTCGAAGCTTGGATGGGAGATGACTGATGTCGAGATTGCGGGTGTCAAGTAGAACCTAGTTTCCCATTATGATGGTGTGGTCAGTGCGGTGGCAATCGGCTTGGCACTTCTGTTGCTGCTGAATGTCAAGGAGACGCTTGTGGGTCCGATCCCAAAGCCGATGCATGGTCGTGATGAAGTCGTGTGCGGGTTGGATTGTGGCTGATGCTGTTGTTTTTTTTGGCGTGAGTAGTTTGCATCCATAACAGAGGAAGAATGGCGTCTGTCCAGTAGCGGCGTGAATGGCATTGTTGAAAGGGGTGTACACATAGGATCGTGCGAGACATCCAGGTTCGCACGCGAAACTCACTTGCGATCGTTTTCTAGGATTCTTGATCTGCGTGTACCAAAATGGCAAGATGAGGAACATAATTGATTATGATCCTACTTCATAGGAATTCGCCTTGAGCCCCAGCTTTTCTTTAACCAAATCACATCGTGACTGCAGCACAAGGAATGGTTGCATGGCATGGGAGGGCCTTTCTGTCTACTTATATATATGTTCTATATAGAAGTTATAGGCTAGACTAGGTGTGTGCTTCTAGTGAGTACAACCCAACAGGTATATCTTCTAGGTTTCTCTTCCTAGTATATCATTATCGTATTCTAACATGGTATCGAGTAGGTTAGGTCCACCCGCCCACTTCCGCCCACGCCCTAGCCTCTCGCCCCTCCCCTACCTACCTAGCTCCTCCTGGCCCCGTAGCGCCCTCCAGGCCCCGTAGCGCCCTCCTGGCCCTCGTCGCGCCCTCCAAGCCCCGTAGCGCCCTCCTGGCCCCCGTCGTGCTCTCCAGGCCCCGTAGCGTCCTCCTGGCCCCCGTCGCGCCCTCCAGGCCCCGTACGGCCCTCCTGGCCCCCGTCGCGCCCTCCAGGCCCCGTAGCGCCCTCCTGGCCCCCGTCGCGCCCTTCAGGCCCCGTACGGCCCTCCTGGCCCCCGTCGCGCCCTCCATGCCCCGTCGTGCCCTCCAGGCCCCGTTGCGCCCTCCAGGCCTCGTAGCGCCCTCCTGGCCCCCGTCACGCCCTCTCGGCCCCTGTCGCGCCCGCTAGGCCCCCGTCGCGCCCGCCTGGCCACGTCGCGCCTGCCTGGCCCCGTCGCGTCTGCCTGGCGCAGCCGCGCCCGCCTGGCCCCGTCTCGCCCGCCTGGTCCCGTCGCGCCTGCCTGGCCCCGCTGTGCCCGCCTGGCCCCGTCGCGCCCGCCTGGCCCCGTCGCGCTCGCCTGGCCCCGTCGCGCCCGTCTGGCCCCGTCGCGCCTACCTAGCCCCGACGCGCCCGTCGCGCCCTCCAGGCCCCGTCGCGCCCTCCAGGCCCCGTCGCGCCCTCCAGGCCCCGTAGCGCCCTCCTGGCCCCCGTCACGCCCTCTCGGCCCCTGTCGCGCCCGCTAGGCCCCCGTCGCGCCCGCCTGGCCACGTCGCGCCTGCCTGGCGCAGCCGCGCCCGCCTGGCCCCGTCGCGCCCGCCTGGTCCCGTCGCGCCTGCCTGGCCCCGCTGTGCCCGCCTGGCCCCGTCGCGCCCGCCTGGCCCCGTCGCGCTCGCCTGGCCCCGTCGCGCCCGTCTGGCCCCGTCGCGCCTACCTAGCCCCGAAGCGCCCGCCTGGCCCTGTCGCTCCCGCCTAGCCCCGTCGCGCCCGCCTGGCCCTGTCGCGCCCGCCTGGCCCCGTCGCGCCCGCCTGGCCCCGTCGCGCCCGCCTGGCCCCGTCGCGCTGCCTGGCCCCGTCGCGCCCGCCTGGCCCCGTCGCGCCCGCCTGGCCCCGTCGCGCCAGCCTGGCCCCGCCGCGCCCGCCTGGCCCTGTCGCGCCCGCTTGGCCCCGTCGCGCCCGCCTGGCCTCGTCGCGCCCGCCTGGCCCCGTCGCGCCCGTCTGGCCCCGTCGCGCCTGCCTGGCTCCGTCGCGCCTGCCTGGCCCCGCCGCGCCTGCCTGGCCCTGTTGCGCCCGCCTGGCCCTGTCGCGCCCGCCTGGCCCCACCGCGCTCGCCTGGCCCTCTAGCGCTCCGCTGGGCCCCACCGCGCCCGCCCAGCCTGTTGCGCGCGCCGGCCCCACCTAGCTGGCCCGGCCCCCTTCATAGTGCCGCCCGGCCCCTCCTAGCGCCCGCTCGGCCCCCCCTACTGCCCGCCCGGCCCCTCCTCCTCCCTGCTCGGCCTACCGTGCCGCCTCGGGCCCTATCTCCTCTGCTCGTCCGCCCTGAGGCGCCTCGCGGCCGCCCTGCTGGAGAGTGCTGCCGCCGTGTCCCCGCGCCCCTGTGTTTCTGTGGAGTTGTGCTGCTGTATCGCTGTGGAGCTGTGTCGCTGACCCTGCACGATGGCTGACATCGTCCTCCGACTGGACACTGAGGGCCACGCGTTTGACTTCGCCGCCTGGCTCTCCGATCTCCGCCACCACCTTACAAGTCTGCACCAGAATGGCCACTCTTTGGTTGTCCATGTCGATGGCTTGCTCCCCCGCCCCACTGCCCCTGCTCCCCTCCCTGCTGATCCCTCCTCTGATGACCGTGAGACCTTCTCTACTGCTGCGCTTGCCTGTGCGGTCTCGGACTCCCGCGATGCAGTAGCTCAGGTTGCCATTAGTCACGCCCTCCCGGTGTCTGAGCGCTCGCGTTTTGCTACGGTTGATACGGCCAAAGCTTATTTAGACGTCGTTATTGCTCGCTATTCCACACCTGCATCCGCTTCTGCCGGCCGCCTGCCCTTCCCGATGCTGTTCCCAGACCTTGCTGCCTTCCCTACTGTCGCAGACTTTGCCACTTACTTGCGTGCCCTAGAGACCCGCTATCGCACTGCCAGCACTGCTGCCCAGCTCACTGCGCTCCCCCCCCCCTTCTGCATGACGCTCTATTTTATCGCCATGCGCCTGCCGGACCGCCTAGCTAGTGCTCGCGACCACTTCCTTAGCCAGCACCCAGGTGACCTCACTCTGACCGCCTTTGTCAACACCCCCACCGAGATCAAGACTCGCCAGCGCACTATCGCTCATTCGAGCGGTGTGCCGGCAGTCTCTATCTTTTACGGCTGTGCCCCCTCCCAGTGCACGTTTACTGACGTTTCGGCTACGGTCGCCTCTGCGACCCCCCTTACCGAGATTGCTGCTATAGTCCACCCGCAGCAGCGCTCGCGTCGCGGTGGCCGTGGCCGCCAGGGAGGTCGGGGTGGTGGCGCTGGGGGTGGTGGGAGTGGTGGTGGTGACGGTAGTCCGCCTGAGAGGACTACCACCGGTGGGCAGGAGCAGACGCAGTCCCCTCCGCAGCAGGAGCAACCCCAGCAGCAGCCGCCGTCACAGCTGCAATCGTCGCAGCAGCTGTTCCAGCCCCAGCCGTGGGCTCGTCTCCCCCCGGGTTGGCCCGGCACCTCCGTAGGTGGTGGCCGTGGTGGCGGCACGCGCAGCTTGGCGTCTACCGGCAGCTCTGTTGGTGTGACCTGCCAGTACCAGCTTTAGACCGGGCCTCTGCGCGGCACTCTGTGCTGCCGCCCGCACCCGACCGCCCGCTGTTTCCGCCGCCTCGACGATCTCTTTCGTCGTCGCTTTGGCCCGGCCCCGCACCTCCCCGACTGGCACAGCCTGCTTCGTCAGGGTGTGCCGTTCTTTGATTTAGATATGGATCAGATAGGTGCTGCTTTGCATGCCTTGTATGCAAACGCTTCTGTGTGTTGCTGGATCTTATTGCCCTGTGTACTCTAGTTTAGGCGTAGCACCTTAGTGTAGCTTAGCCTCCCCTGATGCATCAGGCATAGGGCTGCCTAGTTTGCCTAGCTTAGTTTCTGTACCAGCTCCGTTCCCAGCCTCCGCTACTGCCTCGCTGTCCTTCACTCTCGACTCCGGTGCTTCTGCCTCTTTCTTCCGCGACCGTTCCACACTCATGCCGCTTGCTGCGTCAGCAGTTGTCTCTCTCGCTGACCCCTCCGCGGGTCCTGTCGTCGCTCGCAGCTCCACTTCCCTTCCCTGTCTAGCAGTTCCCTTGGGCTCTCTTACAGGCCTGTACGTTCCCTCGTTCCCTAGGAACCTGGTTCGTGTCGGCCGTCTTCACGACCTCGGTGTCACCACTACGTTCCCTGGGCACGAGCGGTTCGCTGTCGGTACCGAGGCAGTCTCAGGATCCCCCCTTGCGACGTTCCCTCGGGACCCTGTGTCCGGTCTGTTTACCCTCGACACCGCTTCCCCCCCGCCTAGTGCGTCCTCCCAGGTCGCTGTAGCTTGCTCGTGTCGGTCCCTCACACACCTGTCTCTTCTGTGGCACCACTGCTTAGGTCACCCTGCTCTCCCGCACCTGCGTCACATGTCTCAGTAGGGTCTTGTCTTAGGCCTCACTACGTCGCTCCCCACACTTCCCCCCTCGACTGCGCCACCGTGCACGCCTTGCGTTGAGGGCCGGCTCAGCCGTGCCCCTCACTCCTCCTTGCTTCGCCCGGCTACTGCTCCCCTTCAGACCCTGCACCTGGACGTTTGGGTCCCAGCCCCCGTCACCGGACCGCGCGGTGAGCGCTACTTTCTTGTGCTCGTCGACTACTACACGCGCTACACCACGGTGTTTCCCATGGAGCGGAAGGCCGACGTGCC